CATCATATGTCAAATCTACCGTCTGGTTAAAATAATCCGAGTACTTTCGAGCTAAGAAGAATCTTATATATAAAATTCTCGTGTCGCAGTTTTCGTTCCCATACTCCTCCGAAACGGCTTGACCGATTCTCATGAAATTTTGTGAACGTATTGAGTAGGTCTGAGAATCGGCTAACATCTATTTTTCATCCCCCTAAATGTTAGGGGTAGTCCACCCCTAATTGTTTTTTAATTTTAAGGCAAAACAACGTTTGCCGGGACAGCTAGTATTTTTATAAAGATGACAAATCCTTTATGCGTGGAGGTCTATCTATATTACACTTGTAACACTATAATATAAAATGGTTATACAAAAATGTGAGCAAAGCCCACCCGGCTTATCTCTAAATGAGATCTCTTCCAGCGAATCTAACGCTGTGATAGAGGTGGTAGTTAGCGGGCAACGATAGTGCTCGAGCTTCTTATCCATATCCTAATAAAACGATATATTTAAGAACAAATTAAAATCATATTTCGATCAACAATTTTTCTTTTTATTTATTATTTTAATTTTTCTTTTTACAATGTGACTGAATATCTGAATTCCAATGTAATAATTATGACATTTTCCATTAAGTAACTTTTAATTAGTATTATATATATGTTATATATTATTAAATTTATTATTTTGAATACTTACAACTGTAATTGTGACATAATTATCTTTAAAAAAAAAATGTAATTACTATTGACGTGCTTTTGTGTAACGAGATTTGTTACATTTGTGAATAAAACAATATGAATATCAAATACTTTATTTTGAACAAAATTGTTCTTTACATCATTTAATCAACCAAGACTTTAGGAGATAGCTTATTTTAAATAAAATAATCTCAAGTATCGGGCCCGAGCAAAGTCGGAGCGGATTGCTAGTTACTAATAAACGTTAGGAAAACAAATGCGTGTAGACAATTGTTCCGGTTTCTTGCTATTAAATATTTAGAGAATCTTTCGCGGTGCTGATTACGGTTTTACTAGTGAAAGTGAAGTGAGGTGGTAACGGCATGTGTTGGTATTCGCATGAATCGCCATATGCAATCCAGTATCCATCGGGCGGGAATTAGCCTTCAGCTGCTCCATAAGTCCTGAGGGTTTGGAGTGTCTGCACTCGCCCCCTAGCGTCCGGTGAAGTTGTAAAGTCCAGCTGCGGCCAAATATCATTAGAGTAGTCCGAAAAAAATGTGTTTCATTATGAACCTCATATAGGTATAGAAAAATGATATTTATTTTAGTAGGCGTTTTCGTGTCTCTCTGTATGGTTTTTAGGCTTTTTTTTATTATTTTGATTTTAATATGTCGCTTTACTATCGATGATCACGGGTTCGATCCCTCGCACGGTAAAAACATTTGCATTCATGAGTATTATTGTTTTTATCGATTTGGGTGTTTTCTATACTATATATTATGTATTTACAAATGTATTTTTGACTGATGACCCAATTGCTAGCAATGTACCATGTCATGTTGACCTCCACACGCTACCCCCTCGAAACCATCATGATAAATTTCTGGTGAATTTATCACGATGGGCTAACTGACCTAACCACATGTTCGTCCTATCATCCTTAACTAGTGCTCGCCAGCGTAAACCGTGACCGTAGGACCCTCCTACGGTCCAATTCATTATCATCCATAGAAAAAACACTAACAATCACCTCACAATGTAGGGGATGAGAATTATTAGTAATGTGAAGTATGGAAATAATAAATTGAGTCACCATTGCTACCAATTCATACATCACTGGTGCCCCGCCAGCGTAAACCGTTCGCGCAGGCGGGTGCACCGTTCCATTATCATCTAATAAAAAAAGTTTCTCTGGTAAAGCAAAAATGTACTTAGTTTGAAATTCGTTATGTTAAGACGTAATCAAGTGGATAGGGAACATTTCCTTGTGGGAGCCTGGCAGTGACCACATTATAAAGTTCTATTAATAGTGTAATAGTATATATACTGTACCTAAAGGGCAACGACCTAGTAATACGCAACACTTACGACCATATGTTACCCAACTGTTTCCCTAATAGTATTTCGAAAGTGAAAATCGTAGAATAACTTCATAATTATCAGTTTGTATGCGATTCTGATGTTAATGAACACTGTTACGTATATTAAATTTTTATAAGTTATTTTTACTAGCTTCCAGTCCCAGTTGGGCGTCATTATTGTAGGGATCTGCAATATTGTTTTAACAATGTTTTTATAGTTGAACTAATTTTTAAATAGCTGGTCCTTACCTATACTTATATAATAATATAAATGCGAAAGTAATTCTGTCTGTCTGCCTCACTAACACGCCAAAACTACTGAACCGATTTAAATGAAATATATTTCACAGATAGTCTAGACCCTGAGAAAAGACAGGCTACTTTTTAATGTGAAAAAAGAGTTGTAAAGGGGAGATTAAAGGTTGTATGGAAGTATCGTCATATTTAAAGCTAGGAGCCTAAAACTTATTTTTTAGGCATATTGAATAATTATAAACAAAAATTATTTTCAAAGATTGTAAATATAGAGATGAATGGAAGGGAAAAGAATATTACGCCAACTCCAAATTAATAGGATAAGGAAGAAGGAAGAAGCAGATAATTATATTTTTGGCAGTAGAAATGTCAGATGTCGGACTTAATGCGTGTCACAGCAGTTGCACACATGAGGGCTATAAGGTCTAAGGCATATATATAATGTTTAGATACATTAATGTAGTCTAAATAGTTGTTATTTTCCGTCAGGTGGGCAGTTTAATTTCCATTCAAGTTACATAAAAACTACGAATTAATTTAAATCAGTGATTCTACAACAGCGGTCATCTTTTTGTTTTTACTCTATGTTTTAACACTAAACTTTACTATATATATTATACTAGAAATTTACAAAAAATCAATACCAGGAAACAATAAGGGGGTCTATCCAAAACCGAAAAATATGGCAAAGGGTCTACTACACCAAAAAGTTTGGGAATCTTTGATTTAAATAAATCAATATCGAATATATTCCATGCCCTTTTCGATGTCGCCGCGAATTAGCCACACAATACTAATTAAGAAGCAGCCCTGAAAACAGTGTTTAATAGTTGCGTCACTCTGATAAAAGCAAATGTAAACAGCTAGTTGTTAATATCGCTGATAAAAATACCATATTGTTGTTTTAAAATTATTAGCAACCTTGTCTAATGTTTTTAGTTTGAATTTATTATCCTACGGTATCGTTGATAAGCATTTGTTTGGGTGTCTTCTGAAAATATTATTTTTGTATTTTGTGGAGACTATATTTTTATAGAAGTAAATAACCACCGTATTATTAAGTGTTCTCACTACTGTGCCATGTTGTGTTATGTAGAATGGAAGAGATCTCTTTCAGAGCTAAATACTCCTTTGTTATATTACTGTTCCTAATTATATGTATGACAAATGACACTTGATTTTCTGTATGTAAACCAAAAAGTTTCGATTATTCATATTTACCTTCATATTTTGAAATAGAATTATACGGCCTAACTATTTTTTTTTACTATGGGGTTGCATTCAAGTATACGTATTTGATAGGAAATGGTTATTGTAACCTATGGACGCCTGTAAAACCAGTCACGTACCGTTTCCGACATTTTAGAAATCTTAATATACCCCTTTTGAAAAGGTAGGTCATTTCATAATCTAAGTTAACGCGGGAGGAAGTTTCTCTGAATTCGCATTGTCAAGAGACCACTAAAGTTCCAGCGTGTGGGGATGAATTCACTGTCCATGGCGAGAGGTGTAATAAGTGGCATAAGAAACTAGATTGATTAGAAGAAACGAAATATTGTAGTCGTATGGAGTGTAAAATGAGTAAAGTATAAAAAATAATTGATTTAAACAGTAAACATGACACTGGTTGACCTTCATAGAAAATAATCCTTATTTTCAACGCTACTGACAAGACAGTGATAGCATAAAAACGTAAATGACGATTGTTCACAATCATTGCCACGTGACAATATGAACTATGTAATGATTTACAGGTATCTGATTCAGCTATACATTTATTGTTATATAACCCAGTCAAGCGACCCAACTCTGAACCTTCGACGGTTCACATAAAAGTAGTACAAAGGGTGTTCTCACCCCGTGTGTACTAGGGTCAAAGGGTTAGACCGTGGCATTTAAGTTTCTTTTAAGCTTTACCGTCGTTGCGACTTGCTTGCGTGAGCGCAACGTACCAGGCCTACAGCGGTGTTCAACCACAGCTGTACCCTGTATCTGACTATTGCTCTGAGAGACGCGACGGTGGCTGGGCAATTGTTTTTCAACAAGACATTGTACCCAGTAACCTCATTGAGCAGAATCCTAAATCCTTAATACTTTGTCCTTGTTGACACCTAAATCTAAAATCCATAGTCCTTTATCCACGTTCATATATTCGACTTTCAACTCAACTTTCTCCTGCGCGTTATTCGATTCTTATACGTCATTTGTACCATCAATATTTTCATCTATTCCTGTAATTGAATTTGGTTTTCAAGTTTACCAAAAATCTATTATAGTGTCATATTCTTTGATTATAAATATCAAATTTCGTTTATTTGACACTTTCTAATTTCATAAAAATAAGACTTATCATTTTTGTTTCTCTAGTAATCACTAGTGGTTTCTTACGACTTTCAATCTGTGTAAAAACTATTTGTGTCATATCAATTAATAAAGTTTCGTCTACCTAGACGACTTATAACATCTTTACATTAGTTTATTCAACACTTTTAATTTTCACACCTTTTTCATCAAACATTTCGGTTCTCTATTCTTCCTGAACATTAAATTTGGTTATATATTTCATACATTCATTCTTTTATCCAATTTTCATTTATCTTCCTACCGGTCACTACCCCTAATTTGTTATAGAACTATCCAACCAGTCCCTACCCCCTAAATTGATCATCGCTCAGTGGCCCGTCGGCCGCAGTGCGTTGACAGCGCTCTCTTCTGGTCAGGTACTAGGGCCTCCGCGCCCGGTCGCTCAAACCGTCGGGTCGACGAGCCGTGGGGGGATCGGCGCGGGCATACACAACGACATATAGCCGCTGCTTGCTCCTGCGCACGCTTAGGTGAGTCCAACAACTGCTTTACTATATTAGAAATTGTAGAAGTATCTGCACCCAGTGGTACTACCCTCGCACGCTTAGGTGAGTTCCTCAACAATATTAGCAATTCTTGATGTATCTACGCCTACTACCCAGATTTACAACTGAGAGGTATTCAGTTCAAATATGGGCAAAGCAAATTATATTTTGACTGTTTAACGGTTTAACACAACGCTATACTTCAGATGGTCGCGGATTCGATTCCTCGCACTGTACAAACATTTGTATTCATGAGTATGAGTGTTTGTATAGGTCTGAGTGTTTTCTATATGTATTATGTATATATTTATAGAAAGTTAAGTATTTTTGTATTTGTAACAGTTGTCTAGTATCCATAACATAAGCTCTGCTTAGTTTAGGACCATTCTTGGGACCAGCGCCATCTACGCTGTGTGAATTGTCCTGAGCGAAGATAAAAGTATATTGTAATGTTCATAACTTGCCATTAGTGAAACCTAAAGTATTATACACCCATTAATTCTGTAGAAAACAGCCTTTAGAAGCACAGGTGCTTTATTACGACGGTCCGACCCTAGTTACGAATCCCTATAGGTGCCCTCAGACTGCGGTTGTATCTTGTATGTGCGGGTTTGAAGTGCCATCTGCACTCGCCCCATATGGTCCGGTTTTAATAATGGTGAAATTGCATAGGTGCCGACATAGTATTATAACATTTTAAGCTTCTTTCTTCTAATTATATATATTTTCGAATACTTATGTACTAAAAAATACACACGATTTTAGATGGTAGATGGTATAGTAGTTAATAATGGTGAAATTGTATAGGTGCCGATTCACCCGCCGCTCGCATAGCCCGATCATGTTGAGAGCGGGCGCGAGGCACCCGGATGCTAACGAGCTCGAGGCGTCCACGTCGTGGCGCCAGGACCAGGATCTGGACGAGCAACAATACGCGACCCTCAACGAGTACCTGCAGCTGGAGTATAAGTTCCAGCCGAGACTGTGCCTGCCTGCTGACTCTGAGGTCAGTAAGCTTCTCCTATTTTCAATAATAATTCGTGACATCGGTGTTTATTCCAGATAAATGAATATCGATTGTATTGTAGACGTGAGTATGGTCCTTTTTTAATGCTGGAGTATAAGTTCCAGCCTAGATTGTGCCTGCCTACTGCCTCAGGTCAGTAAGGTCCTTTTTTCAATAAACAATAATTATAATAATTTGTGGATCGAAGGATTTGAAAAACATTGAGGTCGTCATATATAATACAGATCAAATACTTGGTGCTGTTTTTGAAATCGCAAGTTTTTTTTTCATTCCTATTTGGTCTAATTTTTTTTGTGGAACATTTGACTTAAATGTTTATTTAAGATTAAGGGATAACGATATTATATCCTCCCAGCTGGAGTGTAAGATCCAGCTGAGACTGTGCCTGCCTGCTGAGGTCAGTAAGGTTTTCTGCTCAATGGACGATGAGGGGTTGGATCTCAGGATCGATATTGGTTAAGACGTTGGTTTTAAATCTGCCTGAACAAAGATTCAAAACTCGTATAAAACACTTTCATTATAAAAAGCTTATAAAATTGAAGAGCTTGTAAATGATAATAATGTTTTTGTATAAAAAAATCGATTTTTTTTCTACAATTGCACAAAGAATGAGTTCGTAGCGTTACTATGTTGATTATCGCATGCCTCTTATTTCTTGTTGTGCATTTATTTATTCAAAAGAGCAACACAAGTTTCTTGCTCATCCTTCTTGTGATTAGTCTGCGTTCCCAATGAGTGGCATTTTAAAAAATATGACTGTTCTAAAGTGCTTGTATTCAGTTTATTTGAGTAAAGACTAGTTTTATTTCTTAGTGGTTTATTTATATTTCTTGATAATATTAAAACGTTGCAAATGTTACAGAATGGTGAGGTGACAACTGGAGCCCGGGACGGCGCCGCCCACGTGCTGCGCTGTCTCAAGGTGTGGTACGACCTGCCAGCCGATGTACTTATCAGTGCTGTTAATCTGTTCGACAGGTAAGAACACGTTCAATTTTATTCTTTATACAACTGGAATGGTGAACACGCTGACTGTCCAACGGTGTCCGTAGTGTAGTTTTTTTTTCGGATTAATCTAATGCTGTTGGCTACAGCTGACCTTTACAGCTTCACCGGACGATAGGCGGCGAGTGCAGATGAAACTCCAAACCAAAGAAAGGACTTATGGAGCGGGTGAAGACCAACTCCCGTCGGTATTATTTTATTACTCAATGGATTTGTTATTTTGTTTAACTCTACTATTATTAGCATGTGTGAGACCACAAATATTCAGTGCGGAATCCTGACCTCCAAGGAAATCATGCAAGAAATTTGATTACTATTAGAGAAGGGTTTTCAAGAGGAGTAAATTAAGGTTTCTTGAGGGTCGGCAACGTACGTGACACATTAGTCAAGTTTCCGCAATGAATGTTTGACATTTATCATTATATTTCGCCCAATTTACATATTATCTTTTTAAATTGTAGCCTATATGTTATTCTGATGTATAAGCTATATTATTGTAAAGTTTCATCAAAATATGTTTAATACTTATTGCTTGAAAGAGCAACAAACTTTCAACCACACTCACATGCTTTTACGTTTATAATATTAACTAGTAGTGTCCGCGGTGTCACACGCGTTAAATTTCAATAAATAATATAGTCTATATATTATTCTGTTGCATAAGCTATATTATTACAAAATTTCATCAAAATTTTTTCAATACTTTTTGCGTGCAAGAGTAACAAATATTCATCCATACTTACAAACTTTCGCGTTTAGAATATTATTAAGATACAAAAACATAAAAATATTGAGTATTTGAATGTTTGGTAACAGGTTCCTGACCAAAATGAAGGTGCGGCCCTGCCATATTCCTTGCATCACTGTCTCCTGCATGAACATAGCGATAGACCAGCACGCTGAGGACACTCGTCAGCCGAGGAATGTCACTGTGGAAGAACTGGGTGAGTTCACATTCTGTTAACGAATTGCATCACTTTCTGTTGAATTGCAATGCCTAGTAACTTTAAGCTCTGACAGAAATTATGTATAAAAAAATCGTATTAATTAATTATTTCTGGACAATTAACACAGCGCCATCTAGTCCCACTGTAAGCAGAGCTTGTGTTATGGGTACTAGACATAATTGTGTAAATATATACTTAGATTTTTATATATACTTAGATACCAACAGTCATACTCAAATATTTGCATGGTTATTTTTTTGCGATGGTCGCGGGTTCTATTCCTCGAACAACACCTAATTAACTATCTCGTACAATACTACCCTATGTACAATCTAAGTATTTGTATCAGTAGTCTAGCCATAACACAAGCAATCTGCTTAGTATGAAACTAGATGGCGGTTAATTTGCAGGGTTATTTATTATTCTATTTGTTTTAGTGTCAGTATCCCAATCTGCGTGTACGGCGGGCGACGTGCGGCGGATGTCGCGTGTTATTACGGATAAACTAGCTCTAGCGGCGGAGTGTCGCGCGGGAACAGCTCTACATTGGCTGCGTTTGTTATACAGCATGATGGTTCGAGCTGCTGCACGGCTTAATGTACCATTACCGCCTGTACAGGTGAGTTCAATCTCGTCAAACTATTCTAAGCATCTTCACGTACACTTAATACACTTTATATCGGGAACTCAATAAAAGTAAAACGTGGTAAGATACCGTGATTTTCTAATCTAAATATATATAACTCAAAAATGACTGACATAGTGATCTATCAACGCACAGCCCAAACCACTGGACGGATCGGACTGAAATTTGGCATGCAGGTAGATGTTATGACGTAGGCATTCGCTAAGAAAGGATTTTGATTAATTCTACCCCAAGGGGATAAAATAGGGGATGAAAATTTGTATGAAACTTTGTCAATTTTAAACCGATCGGGCTAAGACTTTGCATGCATAAAGCTACTATGATGTAAGCATCTCCTAAGAAAGGATTTTAATAAATTCCACCCCTAAGGGGATAAATTAACGCGAGCGAAGCCGCGGGCAAAAGCTATACGTATGAACATTATACTTATTTCTTCAACAGGAGAGCGATCTAGTGAATTTGCTAGAGATAGCCGTCTGCGATGCCAGCTGTGTGAACGCGCGCACCGGGGAATTGGCTCTGGTCATAATATATCATAAGCTTGGTGAGTGTAATATAAATTTTCTTTTAAACGACTTACAAAAAGACTTCTCAATTAGACTTATTATTGTACTAAAGACTTGAACTGTAATAGATCTAGGCCCTATAGGTAAAGTCCAAGGATAGTACTGAACTGTGTATATTCCGTAATAAGAATATTCTTCTATTCTATTGTTTAATCAAATTCTTGTCATGAGATAGTTTTCCGAATAGGTTAAAAAAGTATATAAATTGTAATGACTAATTATAAGAATAACATTTATTTCGGAAAACTTAAGTAACATTTTGTCAACGACTCCACACTAAGCTATGTATGCTGTATTTTGGAAGTCAAAGCAAAGTGATGATAATAATTTTGCGTTTATATAACAGTAAAACTGATAATATATGACTATTATTCAGAGGTTCTTAAATGTATGTTTATTTGATTAAAGATTTTCTGGTCGATATTTCGATTAGCTGTATTCGCGACTTCGTCCTCGTGGAATTTATAAAAAAAGTTAATTAGAGAGTTTTTCTAAAATAAAAGTAGCCTAAGTTACTCTTTATTACATCAGCTAACTGCCAAAAAAATCCCGTCAAAATAGGTCCAGCCATTTCAGAGATTAGCCGGAACAAACAAACAGACAGACAGACAAAAATTGTAAAAAATATATTTTGGTGTATGTACCGTATTTATATTCATATGCATATAGTAAAAAACGATTATTTCAATATTACAAACAGACACTCCAATTTTATTTATATGTATAGATTTCTTATTCAAAAGAGCAACTTCTTGCTCATTCTTCTTGTGATGAATCTGTGGTCAGATTGAGTCGTATAAGATAAATAATCTAAAGATATAATAATCGAATAAAGATTATTTCTATTCTATTGTTTAATAACAGAGGAGCAGCTGGTCGATTGGTGTGCCCGTGAAACATCTACGGGTGGGACTGCCGAGTGCGCGTTCTATCTGAACGACTTCGCGGCGCAACTGCAGGCTTATTGTCATGTTAGTATTAACTATGTTTGTATACTGTCTAAAATTTTACGCCTTTAATTTAACAATAACAATCTTCTAATCTTCTACTGTATGGATTATACAATTTTCCTTCAAATTCGTACAAAATTTTTGTTTATAAGTATTTTCCCCACTTTTCTTTGACACGTTAACCCATATTAACGATATATCTGTATGTGATTTTGTCTGCCTTTGTAGATGTCGGAAGCAAGCCTAGTGTCTACCCGCAACGTTGTCCGCGCCGCGCTGTCCCGCTACGGAGCCCGGGGACGGGCGCACCCGCAGAGACTTGTGTGGAGACTCTCCGAACGGACGCTCAAGGTGCGTTCACTAGACACAAAAAGGGGAAAGAGATTGTTATGTAGACTAATGACGAATGTTTGTAATGTATTATGCCTAAAGGATGATAATGTAAATAGTACATCCCGCCTGCACTAATGGTTTACGCTGACGGTGCAGTAGTGGAGGATGACAGGATGAGAATGAGGTCAGATCAGTTAGCCCATCGGGGTAAATTCATCAACCGGACATGGTACATTGCGTGATCTGATCCATAAACCAAGAAGATATAAGAAGGGAATTTTTACGTGGACTAATGCCACTAAGAATAAAATTATTTAAAAGAGCAACACGCAAGTTTCTTGCTCCTTCTTGTGATGAGATACAGTTCCAAATGAGCGGTAGATTAAAAAAAAAATGTGATTAATATTCAAAAGAGCTTCAATGTAGGTTTATTTGAATAAATGATTTTCTATTCTATTCTATAATGTTGTCAGGTGTTGCGCCCGACCGACCGTCTCACATCTTTGTTGCCGACCATCGAGGAACAACACTTCGCAGCAGAACAGACCGCCAACAGAAACAGGTGTGTGTTTTTTTTTTACTAGGTTTGTTTTATTTATTTGAAATTGAAATTTTCTTGATTTGAAATTGAAATTCACGTTTGCGGCACATAAAGTCACCTGCATTTCTTTTACTTGTTCATATATTTTTCTGTAACTCATGTGTATTATGTGTCTCTAATTGGTGAATAAAGAATTTATCTATCTATTCATTTTTGTAACTTCAAAATAATTAGAAATAACACACGTAAAGAACACTCATATCAATATTTGTATCGTGTGAGAATCGAACCCACGACTAAACCGTTAGCCTATCTAGGTCGTAAAATTTAGAAGAAAATAAATTATTATTATTATTACAGATCGGGTAGCGAAAGCAGCGAGAGCGAAGAAACTTCAGATTGGCCCCGAAGCCCTGTACTCCCAGTGTACTGCAACAACTGAACACCAAACACCCGCGCCTTCTAATCGTAAGCTGTCAGTCCGAAATTACATCCATAAACAATAACCATAGACAAAAAATTAAGGCTGTGTGCTAAAGATGTATGTTTTAATTTCGTAGCTTTAAAAAAATAAGTGTATGACTTGGTCTTTTGCCATGAAAGAAAATTATCCCATTGAATTGTTTGTACATTAAATTAATATAATAATGAATTTGAAAATATTTGCGTAGGAAGAAATGTATATTTAATTAATAATTTTATTTTATGGTGTATATTTTTGTTTATTAATAATAATATATTATATGACAATAGTTGTCTATGGTTTGTCTGTATAACGTTGTGCCTTGGGCAGTAAAAAAAAAAAACAAAGCAAATGCAGTATGAGCTCAGAAAGAGGTTTTTATTCTGTGCATAAATTTGAAATCGCCAAATACGTTTATAAATAAAAGCCTGGCTTTTGATTTTAGATTATTTATATTGTTATAGAATAATAATTAAATGCAAATTTTATTAATTAAAATTTTACAGAGTAAAAATCTCTATATTATATATGGTAGCTAATGTAGGAAGGCGCGTTTTCAATTTATAATTGTATGGTATGCGTCGATGTGTGTGTGATCCCATTTTTGAAAATGTAGTCAAAATACCGTGATCCAATCATTTAGGCGGGAAATTTCGGAATTTTAGAAATTCGAAAATGGAACTTAACAAATTTTAAATTCCGAAATTTTGAATATCGAATGGAAGTCAGAGTCGAGCATGGCGTTTAGGTTATCAATAGATTATAGTATTTGAGTTTACGAAGGTGCAATTAAAGTGGTCGAACCAGTAAAAAAGAAAATAAAAAATAAAAAAAGCCGAGTATTATCTGTATGTTCGAATCGGTAATTTTACATTTAGAATTGTCGATTGATTTAAAAAAAAGTATAACGTTTTTATAAAAGTATTTATTTAATAGTTTTTATGTTCTCATTACAATTTTACGTTTTATGACTAAATTGAATGTCAAATTATTGATTCGAATTGAATCGTCATTATGCATTGACGTCGTTTGTTTCCATTTTCTTCTAACAGTAGCTTTATTAATGATAAATGATTATTTTAAGAGTAAATAACGAACATGTGGGAACAGACGGCGTCGAACCATAGCTTTTTTGTACTGTGATTTTTGTAAGGAGGAAAAAAAACTGCAAGAAATTCCATATTTTCTTAGAGAAGTAAGTTATTGAGTATATGTTGACCTATTAAATGTTACATACAAATGACAATTTTGTTTTTAGATATTTTTTTTCTATCACATACTACAGAATTGATATTTGTGTGTGATATTCGTTTTTCTACTATTTGTGTTGTGTGAATGCGATATAAAATGTAAAAATACACAGAAAAGTGACAAAAATCAATTCCACCGAAGTTTTTTTTCTATTATTGTCTATCATTTACTTAAGTATTATAAATATTATGTAGTTATAAAAATATTCACTATCAGACTAACTCCTTTTTGAGTTACAGACCGAAAGTCCAGATTCTTGTTAAAAATAAAAAAAAATGGCATTATTTTATTTGTAATTATTTGTAGTGGTATGATAATTGTAATTGATTTAATTTCCTAATAATTGTAGTCTATAAATGAATAAATGAAAAAAAAATTACAAATCTTAAAAAATATAGAAAAAAATGATCTCAGGTAATTTTTCATAGTACCTGCCAATGTCAGTGGAAATAGGGAAAAAATATTTTTCATTTTAACTTTGAAACAATATTTTTGAACGCATGAGGTCTGTATGTGTGGTTTTCCTTTGCATTCTTTTTCATTTTTGCTTTTTAAAAGTGTGTTTGTGCGAATGAAAAAGCCATTACCACAAATAAAACTTATGCATCTACTTAAAATATAAGATTTTCTATCTATTTTTAAGTGTGCGTGTTATATCCTACGTCCACTAATGAGCGAAAAGAAACACATCCATACAAAGGCATTTAAATTTAGAACAGAATATTGAAAGAAATTATGGCGCGAAAATGTAATAGATTTTATTAAAAATGGCCAGTTTTTTATATCTTTTTAATATATATCCTTTTCGCTCATTCGGTTGGAACGTCGGTTCGTATGTCCATAAAAAGTAATGAATGTACACAATCTCTGTGATATGTCTCGTCGAACGTCATGGCGTATCGAATATTTTAAGATCAGTTTTTGTAATGACACTTTTTAAAGCCACAGACAATCTAGACAAGTGAATCGATGAATCTATAAAAAAAATATAACGTTAGAATTGTTTGAAAAATGTATTCTGCATTCGGCGATTTATTTTTCAGCCGTAATTTTAGTAAATATTTCTGTTAATGTACCTATTGACATGAATTTAGTAAATTTTAAAGTGTGATCTAATTAATAATATAATAGTCTAATATTAATATTGTGTAGTTAATTTTATGTTTAATCTCGAATATGACATATCTTTGGTCCGTCGTTGAAGGTAAATCGCCGAATTTCTGCATTTAAAACACTTTGTTTGAATAGTGTGTTGTGATAGTTACGTATTGTGTCAAATTGTTTCATATTATCTATGGAAGATTTACGAGAATAACTTTAAATTATATTTATGTTTGTGGCCAGAACTTGAAAACTTTGCAAACATTGAATTTGAATTTAGAATAATGTTTTTATTCATAAATTTTCTTTAACATGTAACTAGAATTAAAATAACTTGTCTGGCATTTGATTCTATTCATACTCTTGCTCTAATGGGAGTGTAAGCGAGATGGAAGACAACGCAATCAAGATTTTTTTTATAAATGTTTACTTTCGCGATCTTAGTTTTTTGCTGTTTTAATGGAAACATAATTTATGTAACGATGTTATTATTCTCGATAATTTTCAACGATTATATGAAGCAATAAGATGTAGTAGCATTGATATATGAAATATCTATAATTGTACAAGTAGACTAATAAACAAACCATTGTCTCCATAAAAAAAAAAGTATTGTAAGCGTACGATTGTAATTTAAACAAACGACTCTTAATTAGGTATTGTTATAAAACATATCAATGTGAATGTTACTACATCATAGACACAATGCGATCTGAATGTTGTACAAGTGAAAACATCTGATATCTCGAATGAGAAAATAAAAAGCTACGACTCTTATATTCGTATTTTTATTCCTCTGACCAACTTAAATTATAGGATACGAGTTATACCAACTCTAGGTATAACTGTCCTCTATAATGGCAACGTCTGAGCACCATGAACGTCGCATGATGACGTAATGGCCGTGGTGCTTAAATAAACATGCTGTATAAATCATATTTAATGTACCATGTCAGGTCAAACTCGGCGCGGTTCACACTGGAAACCATCGTGATAAATTCCTGGTGAATTTGCTATAATGGTCTAACTGATCTGTCCTCGTGTTTATCTTATCATGCACTGGTGCCCCGCCAGCGTAAACCGTTAGCGCAGGCGGTTGCATCATTCCATTATCATTAAAAAAAAACTTAGTTAAAGGAGAAACGTATTGGTAATGTGGACTCTTGACCCTATTGCTAACTATGTATTATGTCAGGTAGACCTCCACACGCAACTGTTGTTGTTGCCGGCCCGCGTGGTTACATGTTTTTCATGGGGACCACTTATACACCTGTGGGCATGACTTAAATTTAAATTTATGTACAGTAGTTTATTTTCTGGTCCTTCGAAGAGATGCTGCATAGTTATAGGATATAGCTGACTCAGTTTATTTGACATAGCTCACTAATTAACAATAAAAAAAATGCTGTTCCCTATGTGAGAAATAACATTTTTCAATGCGCTCTTCAACGTGTTAAATTATAGTCGATTTGCGAACACAGGGCGACTACTAGTATTTATGAAAATAAAACACAGAAAAAACGTTACAACAAAATTTTATTCATATTAAAACAATTCACAGAACTAGTGGTTTTCTCGATGGATAATAAATCAGAAATACATACACTATGTAGTCATTATATAAAAAGAAGTCTTTATTTTTAAAACAAAATATATACACTGGAGTAACGAAATTTTTTAAAGTTCCGACGGTCAGAAGTTAAATTCAGTATAATAATAATAATCAATAAAATCTACACGATTCTTTGTAAAAAATATAAACGATGCACAATTAAAAGGCGTTACAATATTATATAAAAAACGTAACAAAAGATTTATATTTCGTAAAAGGACAGCTTTATTCTGAGACAAATTAATAAATGACCATACGCCTTTATAATTATATTATTTATATGTAATAATAAAGAGACAAACCCCTTGTAGTTGTTCCTATTGTTTAGAAAACGTGAGACTGTACTTGTTAGAATTATTTAAAAAACTAACCTAATGTCGACATTTTAAAAACCCTTATAAGCCTACCATGCTATTTACAATGCAATATATATATTTTTCAAGATATATTCTGTTTTTAAAATATTGTTAAGTAAAAAAACATAGGTACTTATGTAAAATAAGACAACAGACAATAATAATACCTAGAAAAGTTACAATAATGTATTACTGTACATTATATTTGATATAACAAAAAAATTCATGATGGTGGGACTATTTTGTAAAATAACAGTATTTTAAGGATCAGATCCTAACGTACAATGAAAGAGATCAAATAATTTCTGACAATTTATTAGGATATTTTAATTTTTAAGTTAACGTTCTAATAATTTCATTATTACGTATTTTACGGTACAAACTGCTTTATCGCTCTATAACATATAACTAGTAAAACCATAGATTTCATTACATTTCTGTTGTATATCTTTTTATAAACTTAATATAAAATCTCTTAATATTATTCTCTTATTATATAACATGACAATTCTTACTTTAACATACTAATTCATTTTTAATGTATTCACGAAAATATAGGCAGAAACAGCAGAAGTTTACATATTCGTCATGTTTAATTTGGAATTGTAACTTAGTGTATTCATATTACTTGTTTTTATATCTAAAAATAAGAGGACTTTAAAATTACTGACACGTTTTTAATGTACTTTTTACGTGACTATTTATTTCGTGACAATATAGTTATAGAAGTAAATATCGTTTATATTGACAAAGATTAATTTAGGTTCCTTTTATTAAAGGTGTTGTAAATAAAAGTTAGTCTTAAAACCAAACTATTGTTGTTTATGGCAACTTTACAAAAAGTCTTAAATATAAACTAACAATAATTCTGTGCAACTTATTGGTATCCAATGTGCAATAAGTAAATATTGTTTCCATAACTATGAATCTGATGTTAATCTAAATGTCTTCTTATTGGTGTTTATGTGTATGAACAAAATGAACATGGCCGTCATAAACGGTTAAATGCTTGCGCGAATTAATACTTGAATTCTTTTGTTACGTTTAAATGTTTCTTCAAACCATAGAGGAGTTAGTTTTAACTTTGCTAAAACTATGTCTATGGCCAGTTAATCATTTTACAATAGCGTTTTATTTTTTTATTACCGTAACGGAATACAAGCATTGTCATTCTAAAACATTTGTGTTTCATATTCCTTACTATACATCTATCTAATTATGTACCTACAAATTGTTAGATCAGTTGATATGATAAGGTCTTAAAATTATAAGGTATAAAATTGTCACATTAAATATTCATCACGTATTTATGAATACTTAATTATTATCAGGTCTAAAAATATTACTAAAACAAAACGCATTTAAAAAAAGTAATTAAAAAAACTAGAATGTAAACACAACCAAAGAAACATTTCATACAGACAAAACAACTATCATGTGCTTGTTGCTTACATATTATAATAATTTCATAGAAATTACATGAAAAACAATTTCAACAGTTTGTTCGTATAAACATAAAATTAAAATAACATTTAAACCTTAAAAACCTTACAAACAGTTGGCTTAACAATGCAACTATGTATACATTCTTTTTGTAGTATTTTCTTTTTATTCATATCTGTACAGTTGAAAAAAATATACAGCCAAAATGAATCACGTGACATTTAAAAAGTAAACAATACAAATGTATTCGACAAGCCGAGTTTAAATCTATAAGATGTTACTAAAATAATTAGGGAATCTATTATTTAAAATCCAACAGTTAATTTTATATCCCCTAAATAAAATGTCATCAATAAAATTTGGCGCCATTTTTCACCTACAGATTACACGGGTGTGCGCCGATTTTGACAGTTCAATATCCCTTTATGTTTATTCTGTGTAAACATATTTGTGTATAATATAGATGCATACCTATAGGCTAGTGTAATAGTAACTTGAAATAGTTACATTTCAATGTTTTTTTTTTCACACAGCCGGCAAAGACATGTTTTAAAAATATATGTCTATATTTTCTCGCCAAAATTGTTCAATCATGTATTAACGGAATAGAGGTAGGCATTCTATATACGAATTAATAAATCCAATGTTTTTGTCATAATTTAATTTAATTGCGACATTTCTGGAGGAATTCCAACACCTCGTGCGGATGGTTTTGTCGTGTTTGAGATCGTGTCGCTTCACGGGCGTAGTCTAGAGGCGTCCTGGAGCTGTAAAAGATACAATTATTTATTTATTTATTAAATAATTTCGTCAACAATATTTTTTCTTTTAAACAACTTTAATGCACGTAATACAAAATTAAAAAGTACATATGGCGGCCTTAACACCTAGTGGCATTTTCTACCAGGCAACCATGAGTTGTGCAGAGATAAATCGCTGGCAGTGCAAATAATATTATAATATTTTTTTGATACAATATTATCTGATTGCACTAAGAATGAGTGATGATTATAGCACGCCTCTTACTTGTTATTGTGTAATTATTTATTTAAAATAACATTTATACAAAAGGGAAACACACAAGTTTCTTAGCGTTCCTAATGAGTGGTAGAATAAAAAAATATGACTATTCAAAAGTGTTTGTATTGAGTTTATTTGAATGAAGATTATTTTGCTTCTTTTTTTTTCTTTTTTCGGACTACTCTAATGCTGTTGGCCGCAGCTGGCCTTTACAGCTTCACCGGACGATACGAGACGAGTGTAGATAGCACTCCAAACCAGTCTTATTATTATTAACACAGCGCCATCTAGCCCCACTGTAAGCAGAGCTCGTGTTATGGATACTAGAAAACTGATATAAATACTTTGATATATATTTTTGTAAATACATACATATTATACATAGAAAACACCCAGACCGATACAAACAATCATACTCATGAATACAAATGCACCGTACGAGGAATCGAACCCGCGACCATCGAAAATAAAGTGGTATATTAAACCGGTACACCACCGAGGGCGTCAATATGCGCTATAGACGCCTGATAAACTGATCACATATTGGGGGGAAAGGGGATTGTTAGTAATGTGGATTGATGATCTTCTTGCTAGCAATGTACCATGTCAGGTTGATTCTCCATGTGGTTCTCCCTGCAAAACCATCGTGATAAATTCTTGGTGAATTTGTCACGATGGGCAATCTGACCTGACCTCGTGTTCATCTTACCATCCTCCACTGTTGTCCATCGTAAACCGTTAGCGCAGGCGGGTGCACCATTCCATTATCATCCATAAAAATACTAACCACATATTAGGCGTGTGCGCGAGTTTCCTCCACATTTTCCTGTCTACGTGTCTGAACAGCAACATGACCAGATTAAGGTCGCAGGTGCGGGAGTTCACCGCCAGGTGGAGCGCTGTGTCGCCGCTCTTGTTGTTCTAGAAATATCCAATTTTTTTATTAATCAATAAATCTGCAATAGTGCATCCCTCTTCTTACTTATCCCCTACAAAAGGGATTTCTTCCAGTCAGTTCCAGTCTTTTGTGTGATTCGAGAGAAATTTGTTTTACTTTGTTGTGTATTTGTGTTGTATTTTTTGATATAAATTATATAGGTTTTAATCACAATTAGTTTAAGTTTTTATGTACATATATAATACTAGCAGTGCCAGAATTTCGACCGCGTGTTAAGGAAAATTATTCAATTACTTAACCAATAAAAGTAAAGAGTTCTAGTTTCATCGTTCTAGCTGTAAAAATGACGACTTTCCATACAAACTTTCATCCTTTTTATAATGTCATATTTATATATAACTAGCTAATCCCGGCTTCGCACGGATGTTACATGTATTATCTATGTAAACCTTCATCTATAATAATAATAATAATAATAATAATAATAATAATAATAATAATAATAATAATAATAATAATAATAATAATAATAATAATAATCTCAGGACAATTCACACAGCGCCATCTAGACCCAAGTTAAGCTAGCTAAAGCTTGTGTTATGGGTACTAGATAGCTGATACATAGATATTTTTTTTTTTGTAAATACATACATATTATACATAGAAAACACCCAGACCGATACAAATAATCATACTCATGAATACAAGTGTTTGTGCCGTGCGAGGAATCGAACCCGCAACCATCGGTTGTAAAGCGGTGTGCTAGACCGCTAGACCGCCGAGGTCGTCAATCTAGAATCACTTTCTCTATTAAAAAAAAACGCTTCAAAATCCGTTGCGTAGTTTTAAAGATTTAAGCATACATAGGGACGGACAGACAGCGACTGTTTTATGCTATGTAGTGATTACCAACCTAAAAAATAAATTTCAATCTTCTATCTTTAAAAATGACGATACTTCCACACAACCTTTTAGCCCCTTACAACCCTATTTCTTTAATTATATTCAATAGCCTAAGAAATATATATTTTTTACGCCTATTATCACTATAGAACTTACCCCCTTCCATATATCCGCGTCAGCGTGTTGTAGGAGTACATGTGTGGCGTGGAGGCGCGGGGATTCCGCCGAGTGTTCCACGCACGCCACGTGCAGCGCAGACAGACCTACGGACAACAACATGTATTTAGATATATCAATAATACTGCAGCATATTAGAATATTAGGTCTCTTAATAAAAGTGGAAACTCTGACCAATTTATTAATTACTAGCTTTTGCCTGCGGCTTCGCTCGCGTTACTTTATCCCCTTAGGGGTGAAATTTATCGAAATCCTTTCTTAGGGGATGCCTACGTCATAGTAGCTTTATGCATGCAAAGTCTCAGCCCGATCTGTTTAAAATTGACAAAGTTTCATGCAAACTTTCATCCACAATTTATCCCTTTGGGGGTAGAATTAATCAAAATCCTTTCTTAGCGGATGCCTACGTCATAACATCAGTGGTTTGGGCTGTGCGTTGATAGATCACTACGTCAGTCACCTTTGAGTTATATGTATATATTTAGATTATATTACTCTCAATAACGAGCGTACATGGCAATAATTGTTCATGCACGGGATTTTATCTGGCTTTAAAAAAAAGAAATTCAATTGAGTTTCTTGCCTGTTCTTCTCAATTGAGTCTGTATACGAAATTTCATAGGTAGGGAAAAATCATAATAAAAAAAAACGTTTATAAGTGTCTGTTGCGTTGTAATAATATTTAATACACTTATACTTAACAGACAGTTATACTTATAGACAAACTAGCTGTCCCGACAAACGTTGTTTTGCCTTAAATAAAAATAAAAATTAGGGGTGGACTACCCCCAACATTTAGGGGGATGAAAAATAGGTGTTGGCCGATTCTCAGACCTAGTCAATACGCTCACAAAATTTCATGAGAATCGGCCAAGCCGTTTCGGAGGAGTATGGGAACGAAAACTGTAACACGAGAATTTTATATATAAGATAAGGTTATAAACCAGTTGCGTCTAGTTATATCACCGTATCGTTTTGAAAACGATATGAAGACGACAGATACGATATGACTAGACGCGACGATACGTTTGAATGATATGATACGATACGGCAAGGTGTACAATATATATGCATAATATAGCAGTAATTAAAAATTAAATATTGGAATTAGAAATTAAATTTATACTGGATTTGAGTTAAGCTGAAGCTAAACTGGATTCAGAATAAAATAGAATAAAAATTATTGTAACAGACATCACAACGCATGTTGTTATATGCTTTATTAAGTAGTGCTTACAACAATTTAAGATATTTACTTTTAATTAAGTTAAAACTATGCACCTCTTTCTAAGAAAATTGCGCGGACCGTGCAGTATGAAATTTCTCACACTTATAGGTTATATAGAGAAGGACATATAAGGATATTCGTTATTGTCCACTATTGTCTATACTATAGGTATACCGCTATATCACTATCTACTAGTGCAAGGTCTTCAACCCGCGGCCCGCGGACCGCTTGCGACCCATTGGTATGTTTTCTGCGGCCCAATATCATTAACGAAAACAATTAAGTAATAAAAAGTGCATTTAATATAAAATAAAAAAAATCTTATAAAAATATATAAAGCTGTGCAGATTAAAAATGTTTTTGGCCCTTGATTTATAAAATGTTGAAGACCGCTGATCTAGTGGTATACCGGTTCGAATCCTTGCACGGTGCAAACATTTGTATTCATGAGTATTATTGTTTGTATCTATATATATTCATTCATATGTATATTAGTCTATGAGGCGGAACGCCGAAACGAAGGCCGAGAAAGTGATGGATGGACTGTGTGGAAGATGGTAGAGAGTAAATAACGAGATGACTACGAACAGGGATGAATGTAAGAGAAATACATATTACGACGACCACAAATAAATGGGATATAGAAGAAGTAAACGGTGATGAATATGGGCCTAGTAGCCTGAAATAAACCTTTATATATAAAAATTAAGTGTCACGTTGTTTGTCCGCGATGGATTCCTATTCTACCGAATCGATTGCAAATTTGATTTGCACATTGTGTGCAATTTAATCTAACTTGAAAGATAGGATAGCTTACATTTCAACTTATAGTCGAAATATTAACCTCAGCCACAGCAACGCGTAGACCCGGCTACGCGTTACTACTAAATAATAAAATAATAACCACTAATTCTGAATCGGTAAGAGTGATTATTTAGTGACGTTAAGAAAATTCCTAATGCGTAACAGTAATGAACATATAAACAGTCAATTATGTATGACTGATATAGTGTATGTATGATCATCAACAATATTTTTTACCTTCCTACATGACTTTACATGAGTAATATTTACTGTATACATTCTAGATAGATGAATCTAAATTCTTATGATTACGGAGCAATGATGCCAACCGTAAGAAAAACTAATGGCTTTTTTATGGGAAGCCCTAGGATTGTTTACCATTCAATTGCATTTTTTTTTTGTTAATTTTATGAATGAAAGCAAAAACGATAAAAATAAATAATTAAATATAAGAAACATAAGTAAATTATGTTAAGTCAGTAATCTGCGTTACCCTAACGTCATGTTATATTTAAAAAAAAAGGGTTGAATAACAGATCTTACCTTCAGCGTTGATGTGATGCGTCTTGAACAACGGCATCTGATCGTGATCTCGACGTACCAACTCGCTGAGTACATCTGCGGCTGCGTCTCCGATACGCACGCACGCTATCAATAACGTGTCTCCTTGAACATCCACCTAAGAAAGACAGAAAAACCATTTATTGTCAACCATTATTAACAAACATACATATATTTATATATAGACAATTTTCATACACATATATGTACACACATGATGTATTTCTTTTAATTTATGATCACCAATCGAAATGAGTGTTCAATTTTGTTCACTAACCTCATGGAATACGGTGTTCTTTCCCTCAACAAGGCTTGAGTCCAACTTGATAGCGGTTCTAATGCACTGCACTAAGTACCTAGTGAGCAGCGGTCGACGGTAGCATCGGAGAGCAGATTCCTTCAATAGGTCCAGACCTGGAGAAAAATTCAATATTTAGAAACAAAGTAAACATAATACAAAATAAGTTTTTTTAATTAATTAATTATATTTGTTTCTCTACTGTTACGTTTTCTCATTGTATGATATATATTAACTGCTTGATACTGCAAAAGTTTTAATTGTTTAAGGTGTTTCTTTGGTGGGAATTCTAAGTTACGACTACATAAATACATGTGTTATAATATATTTTATATATATTAGTTACTTATATATATCTATATTTCTTTTTAATTAAAATATAATAATTTTGTGATTTTGCATATTTTATATTTGGTTGATCTTCTTTTAAACTACACAACGGATTTTAATGCAGTTTTTAGCAATTTTAGCAAGAGAATAGTTTATATGTATAATACATGTATATATGCATGGTATGGGCCTGTAATGCGTAGGAATGAAGATAATATTTTAAGAAGTTACATATGAATGTGGATGGTTATAAGAGCAGAGGAAGGCCGAAAAAGAGATGGATGGACTGTATGAAAGATGATATGGTAAGAAAGGAAGTAAATAACGAGATGACAGCGAACAGGGATGAATGGAAGAGAAAAATATATTACGACGACCACAAATGAATTGGATAAGGACGAAGCTAAGTAAAATTGAAGAGTTTATAAAAGATAATAATGTTTTTGTAGAAAATATTTGAATTCATAGCGCTGACAATATTATCTGATTACACTAAGAATGAGTGCGTAGCGGTTTCTATGTTGATTATCAGATGCCACTTACCTGTTATTGTGTAATTATTTATTAAAAAAAAAACATCTATTCAAAAGATCAACACAAGTTTCTTACTCATTCTTCTTGTGACGAGTCTGCGTTCCGAATGAGTGGTACAATAAAAAATATGACTATTCAAAAGTGCTTATATTGAGTTTATTTCAATAAAAATTATTTCTATTTCTAAGCAGATGAGTGACATGTACACCCGTGTGAAGCCAGGGTGGGTAGCTTGTGTTGAATAAATGTCTTATTATCATTAAATACATACCAAATTGCTGTATGAAGAGTGCCGGCTTCTGTGACAGGACTCGCTCGCAGATCAGCACGAAGAGGACATGCTGGAGGTCCTCAAGGTCGGAGCTGGTGGACAGACTCTGCAGTATACGTTGCAGTACTCTATAGACAGAAAACATTCAGTTGTAACACCCAGGTTTTGTATCTTAATAAGTTCAGGACAATTCACACAGCGCCATGTAGACCCAAGTTAAACAAGCTAGAGCTTGTGTTATGGGTAGTACAACTGATACAAATATAATACATAGTTTTTTTTGTCGTAAATACATACATATTATATATGAAAACACCCAGAACGATATAAACAATCTTACTCATGAATGCAAATTTTTGTGCCGTGCGGGGAACCGAACCCGGGACCATCGGAAGTAAAGCTAGACCACCGCTGAATACATAAAATTCTCGTGACACGATGTTAGTTACCATACTCCTCCGAAACGGATTGACCGATTTTTATGAAATTTTATATGCATATTTAAAATAGATTTTGGCCCATTTTCAGACCTCGGGTAGGTTTAATAAACTCTTCTATGATAAGAGTGACACAACCCTAATTTTTTTTAACAATATTGTTTATTGTCATTGTTCTTTTTGTGATGAGACAGCTTTCCAAACGAGCGGTAGATTAAAAAATGTAATGACTATTCAAAAGTGTTTCAATGTAAGTTTATTTGAATAAATGATTTTCTATTCTATTCTATTTAGCATTGACAAATACATAGAACAAATTTTCGCCCTTTTACAATAATAAAACCCTATTTTCAATAGCGATATCAATTTATATGGCAAAACGTTTGCGATGACGGATAGTTATGTATAAAAAAATGTTTTAAGTAGATATCTCTCAGTTAGTACTCAGTTTGTGACTAGATGGCGCTGTGTGTACTGTTATAGATTAATATTATAATAATTGGAGTTTTTCAAGAAGGGTTTAATGTGTCTTAAGGGTCGGCAACGCGCACGCGACACTAGCGTCAGGTGTCCATACTACAATAACAGTTTACCATCAGATGGGCCATATGCTAGTCTGCCAAAATCGTAGTATAAAAACATTTTTAAAACGATGGAATATTTTAATGTTTTTTTTTGCAAACGATAGGTTTTAAATGAATATCTCTACCGTTACATGTTATCATCTTTATAAATACTAGATGGACGCTAATAAACCCGTTTATTCGAAGGTCGAATCCATTAAAATTTATTAAACTAGTTTTGCGTTTACGACCACATGTAGATGTCTATGGAACTTGACTGAGACACTTGGAGACAGCGAGCGTCTTTTGTTTTTGTGAGACTGGAATAGCGAAGAAGTTAGTGACGGTCTGATGGTAAGTGGTCACCGTCTATATAGGACGGGGGATTGTTAGTAATGTGGACTAATCCCATTGCTAGCAATGTACCGTGTCAGGTTGACCCTCACGCATCCCCCTGGAAACCATCGTGATAAATTTCTGGTGAATTTGTCATGCCTATTTTCTATATCATGTAATTTTATTGTTTTACTAGCTGACAAGGCAAACGTTGTTTTTGCCATATCACTTAATTAAAAAATAGGGGTTGATGATAAAGAGTGAAAATTTGATGTTGAATGTATTTTTCAATGCCACATCACAATGAAATAGAAATAAATAATTTTGTCAAAATTATTCAATGCCACATAAAAGACAAAATAAATAATTTTGTTAATAAAAACAAATACTTATACGTCACCATCGACCGTCCATCAAAGTATCGACACCGACCATCGGAAGTAAAGCTACACCACCGTCAAACACATAAAACTCTCGTGACACAATGTATGTTACCATACTCCGCCAACACGGCTTGACCGATTTTTATGAAATTTTATACGCACATTTAAATGTTGACCGATTCTCAGACCTACAAGAAATGCACACAAAATTTCATAAAAATCGGTAAAAACATAAACACCGCGACACGAGAATTTTACATATTAGCTATCAAAAAAAAATGTTAAGGGTTGACAACCCTTATCACTTAGGGTTTATGAAAAATAAATAGTAGCTGTTGATGATAGGACTATATACTAGGATCCCCTGGTCGTATGGTCGGGCGGCGAAATAAAAATGCTCGGTTGTTATCTTGTACTTGGTAGGAAGGCACCTATCGGGTCGCTGTCTCGCCGGTGAATGCGGACCGCTGCGCGGCCGCGCTCTTTATATAGACGCCCGACGGGTGGCCTTCCCTACTGCAACTGTACGTTGCGTGATTTATTTTTATTAACAAAAATGATCTTACAAATTTTGCTTATACTAATTATATCTAATTGATTCCGTCGTGTACATTTCTCCCGCCGTCGCTATCCTGCGATTCTACTGGTAGCACGACGATTCGTTTTGTTGGTCTTCTCAGGGTGCGCCCGTTGCTCGTTGTGATGTCTACCACTCGCACCGTGTTGGGGTTATCTTTCCCGGGGTAGGTCTTCACAACGCGTCCCCGTGGCCATGTATTTCGGGGTAGGTTGGGATCGCATATGATGACTATGTCGCCAACCTTGGGGGGAACACCTGTACCTCGGGGCTCCCGCCGGTGTTGAAGTAAGGGTAGGTATTCCACCACCCAGCGCCTCCAGAACTCATCTGCTAACGCTTGTGCTCGTCGCCAATGATGTCGTGCGTTCATGTCTCCTTTGTTGAACACTCCGGGATTAGGCACGTGTGAGTTGGGGCCGATCAGGATATGGTTCGGTGTTAATGCCTCCGGATCGCTCGGTGTGACGGACACGTGAGTGAGAGGTCGGGAGTTGACTGTATTCTCCACTTCGGCTAGCAGGGTCACCAATGTCTCGTCTGTGGGATAACGCTCGTGCAGCGTAACTCGTAGGGCTTCCTTTACTGACCGCACCATGCGTTCCCATACCCCGCCCATGAAGGGAGCAGCGGGTGGGATGTACCTCCACGCGATGCTGCGGTTGGTGGCCTCCTCTTCTAGTGCTGCCATAGCCGCCTTGAGTTCCTTTTCAGCTGCCTTGAAACACGTAGCGTTGTCGCTCCACATTTCCGTTGGACAACCTCGCCGAGCCATGAACCTCCTCAGGGCGGCGATGGCTGAATGAGTGCCGAGGGTATGCACCACTTCAATGTGTATGGCTCGTGATGTCATACACGTGAAGAGGGCGCCGTACCGTTTTTCTCGGTGCCGTCCGACTGTGGTTTCAATGGGGCCGAAGTAGTCCAGCCCTGTGTAGGTAAAGGGGCGAGCGTGATGCGCTAGGCGGGCGGCAGGCAGGTCACCGGTCGGTGGGCTTGTTGGCTTCTTTCTTCTTATCTGGCAGACCAGACACCCCTTGATGACGTTCCGTACTGTGGGTCTTATTTTTACAACCCACAGCCGCTGCCGTAGCTCATTCACTACCGCTTCTATACCGCCGTGGTGCATTGTTTCATGTATATGTTGTATATACAGACGTGTATATCTGTGTTTCCCGTCTAACACGGGTGGGTTGAGTACATCTTTTTCTACGTTCGATGTTGCTGTAATTCGTCCTCTTAATCGCAGCATTCCGGTTGTGTCGATGTAGGTACTTAGCGCTGTCAGTCTGTCTTGTTTATTCAATGGACTTCCCTTTTTTATTCGCAATATTTCATTCCCGAAACTATCTTCCTGGCAGGCTCGCATCCACATTCTCTCGGCTTCAAGTAGGTACTGCGCTGGCACCGGGATGCTGGGCGTCGTTATTTTCGTTCTTCCATTTCTTGTTATGATTTTTTCATTATTCTTTTTTCTCCAGTCAACATCGCCCTTTTCATTCTTCTTGGTTCGTTTCTTCGTGGCGGCTACAATATTTCTTTGAGGTCGACAGAGATCGACAAATTGTAGCACGCGCGCAGTCGATTTGATGAGCGGCAGCCACCGCGAGAATCGGTCGATGTCAGGTAAGTGTGCGTGAGCCGTACTTGTAACGGTCACATGGCATCTCTCTCGCTCTTCGCCCGTGACTGATATCGCTGTCCTTGTTTCTCGCGGCCACTCGTTTTCTGGCTGATGTAAAAATGATGGCCCGTTGAACCATCTGTGCTGTGGTCCGAATTCGCTTGGTATACCTCGGGTGGCATCATCAGCTACATTTTCATGTGTAGGGACCCATCGCCATTCATTTTTTTTTGTTGTGTCTTCTATTTCAGCCAGGCGGTGAGCCACAAAGGTCTTAAAGGCCCTTGGTTCTGACCTTATCCATGCTAGGACTGTCCGAGAGTCGCTCCAGTATGTTTTACTCGCTATTTCGTAGTCGTGCTCCTCCGCCACGGTATGTGTGAGGCGCGCACCCATTAACGCAGCTTGAAGTTCAAGTCTCGGGATTGAGACGGGCTTGAGCGGTGCGACGCGACTTTTAGCGGCGGCCAAGGTGACATGTGTGGTACCGTCGGCTCTTTGTGACAGCCAGTACACTGCCGCGGCGTACGCCTCTTCACTGGCATCCACGAAGGTATGCAGATGATGGGTGACCACTGGTGTGACATCATAGCATCGTGGTATGCGTATCTTGTGTACAGTTCGCAATGATGTCAACCAAGTACTCCATGCTGGCTGCAGTTCTTCTGGTAGCGATTCGTCCCAGCCTGTTTTATAGCGCCATGTATCTTGCAGTAATCTTTTCGCTGGCGTTGTGATGGGTGATATGAGGCCAAGGGGGTCGAAGAGTGCCATGATGATGCTGAGCGCTTCTCTTTTCGTTGGTATCCGTTTGTTTTCTAATATATCTTGCGGCGTTTTTATTTTGTTAACTTGAAATCCAATTATGTCTTCATTTATATCCCATAACAAGCCGAGAGCTCGCTCAGTATCGCTCCCGCCAATCAGAACCGCTGTACTATTTGTCCCGCTCTCTGAAGTGTTGTCTCGCTCGCTTGCTATAAACTCGTCGATAGTATTGCGATTGTTTGATGCCCATCCGCTGAGTACGAAGCCGGTTTGTTTATGTATATAATCGACTTCTCTTGTTATTTTTCTGGCTTCTGAGATTGATGAGAAGCTTTGTAGATAGTCGTCCATATAATGATTTCTTCGTATAGCGATTGCGGCGTCGGGATATATATGCGCGTAGTCTTCTGCGTTGCGGTTTTTTATATACAGAGCGGTGCAGGGTGATGACGTCGCTCCGAATATTAATGACGTCATGCGGTACTCGTTTGGGTCGCCCTCCCGCCGGTCACCTCTCCACAGGAAACGGAGCGCGTCGCGGTCTTCTTTCTTAATTTTTACTTGCATAAACATCTCTTTGATATCTGCAGAGACTCCGTAGGCGTACTGTCTGAACCTCATCACCACCCCAGGCAGTGATTGCAACAGGTCAGGTCCAGAAAGCAGCAGGTCGTTTAGGCTGAGACCTGCAGTCTTAGCGGAGGCGTCATGCACCAGTCGCGGCGGCTTGTGTGGCTTCGCTGGGTTCGCAACCGGGAAGTGTGGCAGGTACCATGTTCTGTCTTCAGCTGGCGGTGTCTTGGCGTGCTCTGCATACCCCGACGTGAGTAGGTTATTGATTCGTTCGTTGTATTTAATTTTCAGGTCTTCATCTCTGTCTAATCTCTTTTCGAGGTTATGCAGACGTTTTCTTGCTTCGGTGTAATTGTTCGGTATTTTCATGCTGTCTTCTCGCCAGAGTAGCCCAGTTTCATATCTTCCATTCGGAAGACGGCGACTTTCTCGTTCTAGTATTTTCAAAGCTCGCTGCTCTGGATCATTTTTTGGTTTTCTGGGTTCGATGCATAGTGACTCCAGCTTGAAGTAATTTTTCATCATTTCTTCTATGTTGACGTCATCTTTCTTCTCCACCAGGTGCCCGCAGAAAGTCACCGGGTTGCTGAGAGACGTCTTGCAACCATGCAGAACCCAACCTAGTAGCGTGTAGGATGCTACCGGTTGGTCACGACGTCCCGCCCGTACCTCTCTTGACACGATGAGATCCCAGTTATCTTGTCCTATTAATAACTTGGGGGAAGCACGGTGGTAGACGAGTTCTTCTCGTATTTCTTTCAGGTGACCACACTCCTTTATGTCGCTGTCGACGACCGACTGGGTAGTGATATCCAGTCGATCCACTGTGCGGACTTGATCTAGCTTGAAGATGGTTGAAGAGTGTTTGCCCTTGATTTTCACGCTGGTTGTCTTGCTGTGTTCATGCTTGACCATGGCGCCGACGCCCTGTATCCACATCGTGTTTGCTGGACCATCAATACCCAGGATGTCAGCCACCGATGTATCGATGAGTGTCACTGTGCTGCCTTCGTCGAGAAGAGCGTATGTTTCTATCTTGCTCTTCGGCCCTTGCAATATGACAGGTACTATTTTCAGATAGGCGCGACGTCGGAGACATTCTTCATTGCCTTCCATCGTAGAAGTTACCACCCCATGCTCTTCTGGTGGTTGTTGAAGCTGGTCCTCTTCTTTTCTGTCATGATGCAACAAGTGATGGTGTTTCATGTGGCATCCAGATTTGCCACACCATGGAGCTCTGCAGACGGCGCGTCGATGTTTACTTCTCAGGCACTTGTAGCATATGTTATTCTTCTTTGCAGTTTCCCATCTTGAATTAACGTCGATGTTATTGAAATGCTCGCAGTCAGGCAGCTGATGGTTGCGTTTGCACAGCGGACATACATTTTCATTGTTTTGCTTCATATTAGTAGCAAATGAATGTTCGATCTTCCGTCTCGCTCTCTCCCTTGTTGCCGTCTCGCTCTCAACGAGACGTTCCGGCGCGGCGTACGCTGCACATTTGTCTGCCTCTTCGTTTAGGAAGACAGACATTTTCTTCAATTCCGGGATGTCTTCCTTTTTCAGCGCGTAGTCGTACCATTTATTTTTTATTATAGGTGTGAGCTTCTCTATGATGAGACGTGTCATTTCTGGGCTGTGTAGATATTGTGTTTTCTTCAGTGCTTCAATCGTAGCGACTGTGTTCGCTATTTTGCCGGCGAACACGCAGAGATCCCGTGGGTTATCGGTGATCTTGCTCAGTGACTTGATTCTATCCATCTCGATGAGTATGAGTGCTTCTGGTCTTCCGAATCTTCTTTCCAGTGCTTCTATGATGACATTTGGTTCATGTTGACTCAGGAGTAGGCTGCTCACGGCGTCTAGTGCTGGTCCCTTTATACATTTTCGCAGGCGTGCTACGTTTTCTATCTTCGAGAAGTATTGCTGTGTATCTTCGTAGCTTGCCTTGAATGATAACCATTCATAAGAGAGGCCCCTGAACATAGGCAACTCTTGTATATATGCAGGCGGCTCCCTTGGTCGTCTTCTTGATGCTTGCAGTAGTGCTGTCGTTAATGTCGAAACGTCGATGGTTTGCTGCGGTTGCTTGAATTTCCTCTCCGCGGCTGCCTCATCTTGTTTCTCCTCCCGTGGCATAGGAACTTCTTTTTCGCGTGGCTGTTGATCAAACCACGCATCCACCCACGTGGAGTCTTCATTTTCTTCTTCAGAATATTCTTCCTCGGAGTCTTTTTCTGCCCGTAAACGTTGTAATCGCGCTATCTCCATATCTGCCTCTGCTTGCAGCTGTTTGATTTTTAACTTGGCCAGTCGTTCTTTAATCTCCAATTCTTCCAGTTTTTTCCTTGAGACCGTGGAACGGTGTGACCTCGCCTTCACTGTTTTCTGGGAGGTGTCTTCTCTATTCGGTGAGTCCTCCACTTGACTTGACTGCATAGAGGATTCGGCGCTTGTTTCGTTTTCGGTGGATTCATGCGAGTTTTTCGCTTTAGTGCCTTCTTCATTCATGCTTCGCGTCACGACCATCTTGATTTTCTTCCTGGTGCAGGGATCCGGCTTCTCGAAGGACCACAATGTTGATGATAGGACTATATACTAGGATCCCCTGGTCGTATGGTCGGGCGGCGAAATAAAAATGCTCGGTTGTTATCTTGTACTTGGTAGGAAGGCACCTATCGGGTCGCTGTCTCGCCGGTGAATGCGGACCGCTGCGCGGCCGCGCTCTTTATATAGACGCCCGACGGGTGGCCTTCCCTACTGCAACTGTACGTTGCGTGATTTATTTTTATTAACAAAAATGATCTTACAAATTTTGCTTATACTAATTATATCTAATTGATTCCGTCGTGTACAGTAGCCGATTCTCAGACCTAAATATGCATATGAAATTTCATGAAACCTGTGAAAATTTTATATCGGTAAGATTTCATCTTATAACCTAAACGCATTATAAAGCAAGCTGCGATTCAAATAGGAGAGGTGTAAGTACCTACATTTAACCTCTGTACTTTATAATATACTATTTAACTAAAGTTAACTTAATCACAATGGCATCTAGATCTGTCCAAATTGAGAAGAATACTGTATTAACCGAAAACAGACATGTATGTCAGTTGATTTGAACATATATGGTTCGTTTAAACTTTTAAAGGTATTTAAAAAACCTTATAAGATGTAAAGATTTTAAGCTACCATTCAAAATAGTAACTATAGGCATATAGCAATGAGTTCTAAGAAAACTGAATGATGAATATTATTAAAATTAAGATATACATATTTAGGGTACGTTGTCGAGCTGCGAACGTATGTTATAAAAAATATATTTAGCATAATATTAAAAATATATAGTAAAAACCCAATAACAATTTCTTATGTATATATTATATGATGAACTCATCATATAATATATACAAAAGAAATTTTATTGTTACATATTTATATAATTTTTTTTATACTTTGACGGTGGTCTAGCGGTTTAACACACCGTTTTACTTCTGATGATTGCAGGTTCTATTCCTTACCGTATTGTAAGACTATATAATGATTTTAAGCTACCATTCAAAATACTAACCAGAGGTATATAGCAATGTGTTCTAAGAAAAATAAATGACGTCCGCGTTGGTATGAGCGGTTTATAACACCGTTTTGCTTCTGAGGGTTGCGGGTTCTATTCCTCGCAAAATACGATAAGGCTATGTAAAGCAGTGATTCCCAAAGTGGTGTATGATAAACTACAAGGGGTCATCTTGTTTTACTTTATGTTTTTAACACTAAACTTTAGTACAGTTAGAAATTTACAAAAATTCAATACCGAAAACCGAAAAATATATACCGAGGGGTCTACGCAACAAAAAAAAAAATTGGGAACCTCTGATTTAAAGATTCTAAGCTAGCATTCAAAATACTAACTAGAGGCAGATAGTGGAAATATTTTAAGCGGTGTGTTAAATAGCTAGTTTAACACACCGCTTAAAATATATTCACTATGCGAGCAATCGAACCAGTGACCATCGGAATTAAAACGGTGGCGTTAACCGCTAGACCACCGCGGATGTCAAAGTATAAATAAAATGATATAAATATGCAACAATAAAATTAACTCATCATATAATATATGCATAAGAAATTGTTATTGGGTTTTTACTATATATTTTTAATATTATGCTAAATATATTTTTTATAACATACGTTCGCAGCTCCATAATGTACACTAAAAAGAATGTGTATATCTTAATTTTAATAATATTATAAACGTTTGTAAGTATGGATGTTTGTTACTCTTTCACGCAAGAACTACTGAACGGATTTTAATGAAACTTTACAGTACGCTCATGCATCAGAACAACCCATAGGTTATATTTTATCTTAAAATTTAACGCGAGTAAACCGCGGGCACAGCTAATATTATAATAAACACAATAATTCTAATATAGTAGATAATGGAGTTTTTTTAAAATTCATAATAGACATATTTTTATCTGTAATAAATTTTACTAGTGGTCGAAATTCGATCATACTAAAAAACAGAAAAAGATCTTTGAATCTGCAATAACAATTAAATAAAATTCTTTTTTATTGAATTAAAGTAAATAGATAAATGAAATAAAAAAAATACACTTACTACCATGTATTTGACACACACTCTTTTGTTTATTGTTAAAGTCTGTGGTTAAATATAGAATAGATTAGTATTGTTTGTCTATAGTCTTCCTGAATGTTAAATTCATTATGGTCGAATTGGGAATTTGGGAGACTACTAGTATTATTAAATATTTATAATGCATTCTTACCCAAAAGCAGCTTTCAAATCCATCTTCGCAACCTTCAAACAGAGCCCGGCTCTCTCCTCCGTCTTTAACTTTTGCATGTACTCCTGGAACACCGTCTTGCAAGGTTTCCTCGACAACTGACAGCATTCCTTCTTACTGAATCTATTCCCAATCTCCTTCTGTAAATCTTTGTACTCCTTCATGCGCTTCTTCAACGACCCCGTCGATGAGGTCCTATTCCTCGATTTGATGACGTCACTATCCGCTGATACACAAGTCGGGTAATCCAATTGTTCTATTCCATGTGGAATGTCCTGGAACAATTCGCAGTCGCTGTTCCCAATTGGCGAAGACCTTTCTGGTGACAAAGTATATTCTGATGTATTACGATACATAGACGCTTGTGAATCTGACATAGGACTTGCAACCTCTTCTGAATGTGGTGGAGTCAAGAAGACAAATGATTCTTCTTGCCTACAATACTCCTCGGCGTATTTATCGTTGATCAAATTGTAAACGTCATCGTAATTCGAAAGCGTCGTGATATCATTGTCTAAATGATTCTCGAACTCTTCAATAGGGTTGGTGGTTTCTTCTTGGAGATAGCCATTGTACTGCACGAAGTTTATATCATCTGTCTCGTTCAGACCGAATAGATTCAGCTCTGAATCCATATCGCTGTTCTTTTCTATGCTGTCTATAACTTCGTTGACGGTATCCAGGAGCCAGTCTTGGCCGTATTCGTGTTGGGAGGTCTCTGTTGTTTTCTGGACGTGTTCTATGGCTAGATCGAACTCGAGCCGGTTGTCAGGTTGGTTTCGGACGCTTGGAGGGCTTTGGACTGGTGTTATTTGGCCGGTTTCTTCGATAGATGGGACTGAATTCTCGATGACTTGGCCGCCGCTGAAAAACTGCTTGTTTACTTGATTGATCTAGAAAAGAAGAGAGTTGTCTTAGAATTTAAGTTTTAAATTCGTGTATGATAAGTGTTTTTTATACAACTAAGGTAGCAATCATACGGCCATTCTGATAGTAAACGGTTATCGTAGCTTATGGATGCCTGAAACATCAGTGGTGTTACGTACGCGTAGTTGATTCTTAAGTAACCCTGATATAATGTTCTTGAAAAACTACATTCTGTAGTCCTGTGAGAAAACCTCGGCAGTATGTAATTTCATAATGAACGTGTTGATTTTGTTTTTGTAGACATGAGCTGTTCAGAAGTAATATTTCAATTTAAAATTTATATAACTAAAGTTCGATGAAGATTTTGAAGTACGTTCGTTCGTCTGCGCTAAGTAACTTGCTTTGTAAGTTGTATTTTGATTGTATGGTGACATACTGCAGTGATATTATGGGATAAGCGGGATGAAAAATTAAGTTTTTTGGAATGGCAACGCTTGAGTGTTGCCAGTCATATCTTATACCCGATAGTTAAAAAATTTTTTTTTTGTTATATATGTAAAGGCAGTATTTTGCATTAATTATCTAACATATTATCGTGACAATTATTTTAAAACTTGAGGCGAAGGAAATCCTATTGCGTGTCCATAGCGCAGTGACGTATTTTTTGCAATTATTAAAAATCTTCATTTATCCTCGTTGTCCATTACGGACACGTCAGAATTTATTATTAATATATATATATCCTTGTGAAGGAAATATTCCTTGTGTTAATAGTAATAAGAAACATATCGGCCATTTTTGTTTTGTGGTGCTAACAATGCGGAAAACAGGTGGTTTGTTCAAATCTGTTTACACGCTGGAATTTTATTGCAGTACTATATGTAGGTATCTAATATGTATATTGGACAATACACATTTAGATTTATATACTTGCTAGGAAAATTAACACATCCATATAACCAATTAACACTTGTGTCTAACAGTGACTTAAAGAACTATCAAAACACAATTAAAACCCGACTCCGATAGATCACCCGTCCAATACAAACGGGGATCGAAATTACAGCCTGAGTCGAGGTTTAAACCCCTAGCCGTGTCCTCAGATTAAAGTCATATTCGTTAGGCAGCGACCAATATAAAAGGGGGGTCTTCAGACTAAAGTCATATCCGTTAGGCAGCGTCCAAAAGAAGCGGGGATGGAAACTATAGCCTGAGTCGAGGTTTAAACCCCTAGCGGTGTCCTCAGACTAAAGTCATATCCGTCAGGCAGCGTCCAATACAAACGGAGATCAAAATTAAAGCCTAAGCCCAGGTTTAAACCCCTAGCAGTGTCCTCAAACTAAAGTCGTACCCGTCAGGCGGGCCTTCACTCGCTCCGTAAGTCCTTCCGCGGGTTTGGAGTGCCATCTGCACTCACCCCCTATCGTCCGGTGAAGCTGTAAAGGCCAGCCGTGGCCAACAGCATTAGAAGTATTAGAAAAAAAACGATTAGAGCTCTGAAAGTTGAGCTGATACTATTACCATTAAGGAGGGAAAAGATGTTATGAGAATATAAACACTAGAATGTCATAGGAGCCTAGCAGCTTGCTTTGCTTACAAGAGCCGTACCCTGTAATTTCATTGTAAACTTCATAAAAAGCAAGGTCATTAACTCTGTACTTTTTTTGAATTATGTTACCCTTCAACCTAGACACATCTTACAAAGCAAGGTGCTTTACTCTGTAATTTCTCTGTAATATCACCCTTTAGTATAAACACATTTTGCAAAGCAATCTGCTTGGCAGCTGAAAGGTGAGACTGAAGTACCGTAGAGAACTTTGTATTACTTTTAATTCTATAACCACAGACTACTGAATGAATGAATGAATCAGCATTCATTCATTCAATAGTCTGTGGTTACAGAACTTTACTATATCTTCATGTTTTAATAGTAGTAGGTTTACTACTTATATTTTCGTTACGAATATAAATGATGACACAAGGAAAATATATTAATAATGTGCCTCTTACAGTTTTTTGTGAAGATACTATGTCGTGGTAGATTAGGTTTCATCATATAATATTATATATTAGGTAGAGATAACAAATACAATGATTTATGTGGAGAACTGTATTAGCATGTATAAGTATTATCTAACAAGAACTATCCCCCGGTTTTACTTTATATTTTAAAGTGTGAATGAATATTTTATACAATATATTCACATTTAGAATAATAAAAGTAAAAATCTTACTAATATTATAAACGCAAAAGTTTATGATTATTAATGGATGTTTGTTACTCTTTTATGCAAAAACTACTGAACGGATTTTGATGAAGCTTTACAGTAATATATAGCTTATACAGCTATTACTTAATATTTATTAAAATACGTTTTCCGTTATTTGTTATCTAAAAAAGTGTTAATGTCTGCTTTTTTTAATTTAATGATAGCCTACGTTCGTCCTCTAGATACTATTTATTTTACATTAAACAATAGTTTTTATAAGTTTGCAATTGCAGTGGCCAGCTTGCAAGCACCTATTGCATTTCTTACGGAATCCTTAACATTGAATGCAATAAGTAAAATTGTCTCAAAACAGGTAGAAATACGCACAATTGAAGTTTTTACCTGCGACTGAAGTATAAATTTAAATTTGTAAAGGTTTATACCTGAGCCTTTGTTATTTAAAAAGTTAATACTGGCAAAGTACTTGAGCTTTGTTGCCTTTTAAAAGGTTAAGAAAAAATAAATTTCATATTTAGAATATCGATGACCGTGCCACTTTTTATCGCGCCAAGCGACAATGTCTTTGGTGTATCAAAAAGATATGAAATTATCTATTGATTGATTTTATTGTTTATATTTTTTTATCAAAATGAAGGGTGTTGGAACGGCAAGGTATTATAACTGTGGGTCTTCCTTTTATCAAATAGATATGACGGTTTATTTTTTAATGATTTTTTTATTAAAATGCAGGCTTAGTTGTTAAGTATATAGAGCCAATCGTAATTTTCCTAGCATTGAATAATGTTCCCCGTAGTTAAACTCGTCCTATAAACTACAAGGGTACTATAACCCAATTACTGACAGAAATATTGCTATATATTATTCAGGTGCCTTTACTTGCCAAAAGTTGACTATAAAGTCGTCTGCGTTGTGGAACCCCAGTCTCACCTGTTTTCACAAGATTACAAGATGTTCGTGGTGCTGTTCACGTATATAGTCTATGGTTACCGTTTACAATTAGGTGGGTCGTCACCTTTTTACCATTGGATTTTTTTTTCGGACTACTCTAATGCTGTTGGCCGCAGCTGGCCTTTACAGCTTCACCGGACGATAGGGAACGAGTGCAGATGGCACTCCAAATCCGCGGAAGGACTTATGGACCAGAAGGCCCACTCCCGCCTGACGGATACGACTTTAGTCTGAGGGCACCGCTAGGGGTCCGAACCTCGGCTCAGGCCGTCGTAACATCGCACCCCGTTTGAATTGGACGGGGGATCGATCGGAGGGGAAAATGAAACATAAAAAAAGTAATGTTATACATACCTGTCTATAAGCGAGATCCGTCGACTGTGCAGGATATGGTCTAGCATTCGATCCGAAATCACTGACTCTATTTCTAATCGGCGTTCTAGAAACAACGACCGTCTGCAACTTCTTCTGTTTTCTGCCGTCGTCTATCTTCAAATTGTTTAAAGACTCTACCAATTCTTCTTTATTTCCCTCGTCGATCTCCTCGACCTTCTCAGAGAAACCGCTGTCTTCAGAAGAATGGGAGTCTATCCTCTCCGCTCGGCCTTCGTCTTCTACGACTTTGAAATTGAAATGCTTCAATTCATCATCCTCATCATTGATGTCGGAATCATCGTTTTTAGCGTTCAGTTCGAGTTTTTTCATATTCTCAAGTATACAGTCGACGGTAGTCTGTTTAGGTGGCGCCGTTTCCGGCGCTTCTTCTGTGCGTTCGTTCTTTTTGAGTTCATCTTTCTTTTTGTCCTTCCTGAACAGTTTCTTTATTATTTTCGCTATGGATTTCTTGTCTGCGCTATCGGCCATTGGTAATTGTGGTTTCGCCTGAGATACTTTAGCACTACCCATATTTGTTTTATGTTTGTGTTGTTTCAGATTTTCGTGAAGACTTTATGCATCCTGGAACAAAGAAATATGTATGTTTAGTTTATGTAATGCTCACATTTAAAGATATTATTACTGAAATAGATTTTGTACAACGTATAGGAACCTCTGTCGCGCCTACTTCAGCCGCCAAAGCCAGAAATGACAGTGAACGGATGCAAGACACCACTCATCCGGAATGGCAACATGAGTAGCACCATGGCTGCAATATGAAGTCCATGGTACTGATGGTATAGCTAGTTATGACTTACCATCAGGTAGGCCGTCAACAAACTTAGCAATACCACTTCAATTAAAAATCAACCTTCCACGTCCACTAAAATGTCGACAATTTTAGTATCGCCAAGCTGTTTGTCGCATTTACAATTTTTTAAAAACACCTGACGTCAAATGAATGTCTGCTAATTTCTGTGACGTTCAAAGTGCTGTTCAGTTGTGAGGGCGGCGGTTACCAAATATAAACGAGTGGGTCGCATCAAATTGGTATACTTTATATTGCATTATGTACTTTATTCATTGTTCAATAAACTTCAGTTTAAGTTATCCTAAAAGTTGTGTTATAATACTTTATATTTTCTTTTATCTTTACAGATAATTCTTCTTTTACATTTTGATTTGTACGTTGTGCCGATTTTAAAAATTCTTTAATATCATTATCAAGGCTGTATAATATTACGTGATGAACTATAGGAGTAGAACTGCAATGAAAAATATTGCAAAAAAGGGAGACTATATAACGCAGACAAAGTTGCGTGGATCAGCTAGTTAATATACAGTTGCCACTACTATTGACTACCGCACAGTTGATTACAGTTGTAATAGTATGCCATTATCTTATTTTTAGTTAGTTTTTATCTTAGTATAAACCAACATTTACAGCGTTTTTAAATAAAAAACGAATCTATTATAAAAAAAAACAAAAAGTCAATTATAGCTTATCAGAGGTACACACTGTAATTTACATATAGGTCACAAAAGATGTATTAGAAATACAACTTTAATATTAAATCTATAAGGTCGAATATCGAATTTTGTTATTTAGTGCGAGTATGTTTATGTATCTATTTTTTTTACTGTTACCTATTCTGTGATAGTATGTTATCGTTACTATATACATAATATTTTTTATCCACAAATGTAAAAGAGAAGGTACAAGTCAGTGAATATTAATGAATTTCAATGTTATTTTGATTTTGATTAATTTAGTTTTATTTGGTATAAATTGTTAAGTTTTAAATTTATAATATATAGAGCGGAATACCTATAGTGTTAGTAAAAAAAACACGGACAACTTAAGCTTGTGTTCAACAATAATTTGCTGAAAACAAAAATTTGGTTGTAGTCCACTCCTGCATAAACGAAATATTTCCTTCGAAAAGTATACACTCTATGCTGACGAGATAAAAAAAACTATCGCTCCTAAGAATATCCTTCAATTCTTGTCACTGACGGGTCTAGGTAGCGTACTTTGAAAAAAGGGATCTATGTAGGTCGCAGTGCTACAGGTCTAAAGCATCTGACAATAGCCCAAACACTTCAATAAAAAAAGATACCATCTACCATCAGTAGTGCTAATTTAATAACATAAGACAAAGTCAAACTTTTAAAAGACTACTTGATCTAAATAAATAACACGGTTTCTTGCAACTGTACTGTATAAAAAGTGAATAATATTTAAATATAAAATAATTTGAAGAAAACTGTCGTCACCATCACGAATTGTCTATGGCCAGAAGCCAGAACTGTTCAAGATTCCCGAAAGAATTTTAAGTACTATAAACAAATTGTCACTATGACATAATTCAATTTGTCTAGTGATGCATTTTGGCGGGAAAAAAGTAACCCCATGCTTGTGACAGCTTGCGTCATTTAGAAGAAATTTATGTTTTTAAACATTTTACAACAATTTTTGTAATCACGTGACGTCTCCAATGCATTGCTATTCCGGAGAACTGAAGAATCTGTTCGCTAAATTTCACCCTTCATACGCAGTTAACAAAGCGTCTGCTTGGCTTGGAGAGAAGAGAGGGGTACCTATGCAGATGGCTTTATGCGCCTAGAAAAGATATCTAGATATCCATCAATCAATCAAAATACTCATTCATGTAGATCTATTACAGACTCTAATGATATGTCAAATCTACCGTTAGTTCGGAATGCTTTCGAGATGAGAAGAACTGACAAGAAACTCAGCTCTAGATATTATATCTAGAAAGATCTGTAAAAAGAAATATAATTCAATATAGAATTAATAAAAGTGATTCTGTATTTCGATTATATTATCTAAAAACCTAAAATATAGCAATGATCTATAAAAAAAACAACAAGACAACTCAAAGGGTCAAAAATTAGGGTTCTGAATAATTATCGATTTTGGAAGAATCGATTATAAAACATCACAAATTGCAATGCGCTCTAAAATCAGGATTCCCGAAATTTATCGATTATGGAGAAATCGATTATAATTCAATAGAACATCGACTTTTTTATGATCGATTAAATTGTTCACAAATTTTATCGATTATTTACTAATCTATTTTTTACACAGAATACCACATACTTAAGTCTACCTTTGTCAGATGCAACTACAAAGATTTTACCAACTAGCTTCTTTTAAAAAAAAACCACATGTATGGTAGTGTATATGGAAGAGCGGGATGTACCTGACACAGGCTATGGTTACTAAATCATCCTAACACTGTGTTATTGTAATACAATTGTTTTTTGCGACTTCGTCCGCGTGATATTAAACTTTTCATTAAAATAATTAAAAAATCTATTATTAACGTTTACGTGACTCTTTATAACATTAGCTATTAATGAGTGAAAGTACCGTCAAAATCGGATGAACCGTTTTAGAGATTAGCAAGAACAAATACACAGTTTTTTTTTATTCATATTCTATACCAAAAATGTTTATTACCGCCAAATATTATTCTCCCCACTAACCGATGGTTGACTGGTAGAAAGTACCGTATGGTGTTAAGACCGCCAAATGTATTGTTACGTACTGTGTGCCTTAAAGTTATATAGATAAAAATAAGAATTTATGAAAAAGATTTTTTTTATGTAAGGAAGTATACATTTCATATGCATTTAGAGAAAAGCTGTTAATTTCAAATTACAAAGGGACACTTCAATTTTATATATTTGTATATATTCCCACATCATCACAAGCGTACACAGAACATAACTTCCCGCCTGTCGATTTAATAAATCACAGAACGCCGTCAATCGTCCGCGAATACAATTTTAAATTGAAACCCGAAATTATTTAGAAACGTAACGGTGGGTATTTCTGTGAAATTTTTAATAGACGCATATTGCGTATATAAATATATTTATGTATATGTGTAGGCAGGTTGCCAAAGACTATATAGATCCGAGCAGGGTTGCCAACCTTAAAACATTTAGCCTCGTAAGGAAAACTTAAAATTCTGATAACATCTCCTACATTAGCTCTATAAACATATTACAGTTTTTTTTTAATTTTCGATCTATTGTGATGTCTTTACAGTTTCATAGGACGTATAGAATAGAATAAATCTTTATCTGTGTGGGTACATTAATTTGTAAGTGGTCAAATAATGTAACCCTGGACAATTAACACAGTGCCATCTAGTCCCACGGTAAGCAGAGCTTGTGTTATGTGTACTAGACAACTGATATATACATATATTTTCTAAGTATATACTACATGTACTCCAATTGTCTTTAATTTGCTTGATGTAGCTGTGCCTTGGTCTTCCACCCCCCCTCTTCCTTCTTTTTCTGCCTCAATAACAATTTTCATGAATTCATCGTGCTGTATCGAGTCTCCTAAAGTTTTCACTAGTCGATATACTAGATTTTGACGAAAGTGAAGTCTCTTGTATGAGATTTTTTTTATATATAGCATAGGGCACAAACGAGCTTGTGGCTCATCTGATCGTAAGTGATTACCGCCGACCATGAGCACCTGCAACACCAGGGGAATTGCAAATGCGTTGTCGGAGTTTTAAGAAGGAGTAAGCTCTTCTTGAAAGTTTCAATATCGTATTCGGTTCGGAAATAACATTGCTGGAAGCTGATTCCAAAATGTGGTTGTGCGTGGCAAAAAATGACTATTTTATATTTGTATGAGATTGTACGGTTGGCATCCTTGGTTGTGAGTCCGACCGTGAGAGAGTCGAGACCTACCCTACTGCAAACATGTGATGCTGTGAAGGCGATGATTACCGCTGTTTATCTGGTAACAAAAATTGGTTGCCATTTAATCGTTGTAAGAAAGTCGATAGAAATATTTTTTTTGTAAGTACATATCTAATATCTACACTTATAAAATATCCAGACCAATACAACCAGGGGGAGAGGATTGTTAGAATTGTAGACTAATAAACTCATTGCTAGCAATGCTCCATGTCAGGAACCCTTGAAACCATCGTGAGAAATTCTCGATGAATTTGCCACGATGGGCTAACTGACCTGACTTCATGCTCATCTTATCATCCTCCACTGGTACCCCGCCAGCGTAAACCGTTAGCGGAGGCGTGCACCATTTCATTATATCATCATCTGCTTCTTCCTTATCCCATTTATTTGTGGTTTTGTGGTCGTTGTAATATGTTTTTCTCTTCCATTCATCCCGGTTCGCAGTCATTTCGTCATTTACTTCCTTTCTTACCATTTCATCTTTCACACAGTCCATCCATCTCTTTTTCGGCCTTCCTCTGCCCTTAGCCAGCGTAAACCGTTAGCGCAAGCTGGTGCACCATTCTATTAACATCCATAAAATACTTCAAGGTGCGAGGAATCGAATCTATTGAAGGCGGTGAACTAAATCCTAGCCCGTTAGAATGACTTTAATAACCACATGTACCTACAAGCCCTATTTTTATTGGGTTGTTTGGCCCATTGTCAGGTGCTAGGACCTGTAGCACTGCGACCTACATAGATCTATCGTGCTCGCCCATTTTCAGAGTAAATAGTTAATCTCTACCTAGATCTGTAAGGGACAAGAAATGAAGGAATGAGTT